CTGAAACATAGGCAAGACAAGTTACTTTGTACAGACCAAAGGTCAGTTTTATGTTATTTGATATGGTAACAACAATGATGTGAGCTATGTCATTGTAACTTCTGCATTGCTAGCCAGGCACAGCTGAAAGGTCAAAATAAAAAAATATATATAAATGTATAATGTTGTGAGATTTAAGCTATTTAGTCTAAACATTTATGTTTTCTTGTTATAATTTGTGTTCATTCTAGAATGAAAGAGGTATAATTTATGTTTATTTCCTAATTTTTTATGGTTGTTGCATGATCGGTCAAATATACCGAACCCATACAGAGATTAATAACTGAAAATAACAGATAAAATATAAAGTTTTTTCTTAAGAAATATTTGATAAATATCTGGACATTATAAAGATTTTACAGTTTAAAATTAGAAAATCTTCTGATTCATAAAAATATTTTTAATCTTAAAATGAAAATTACTTTGCATGATAGATAGGCAAGATGTGAAAAAAAAAGGCATGAAAGAAACATTGCTTTACAAACCTCAAGACTTAATAAAAAAATTGATATTTTGCGTGTGAAAGCATTGTAATGTTTACTGATAAACTGCCAAATTTCGTTAACATTTGCTTACTACTTTAAAAGTAATAGCATGAAATCTATAACAAGCACAAGATGGTTACGAGGTCGGTTCTAGGGATCGAGCCTGGGCCGAAAGAGTTAATGGAATTATTTTTGTGACATTGATAGATTTAATTATAATTTTGATTAACTGATTATTTTACATGACACCGATCAATTTAATAATGTTAATTGCTGAGCTCTGATCTTATTCTTTTCCCTCAAATATATTCATGTAACATTTAGTTTTATTTAAACCTATAAAAATGAAGTTGGTTGATTTGAATAAGCTTGGAACTTTGAAACTCTACATACTATACTTCTGAATTTCCTCTGTGTATCTCCATGAAATTTGGCAGTGTTTTAGCAAATGTTACACATCTGTTGTACACAAAACTGAATTTTTAATCAAGTATTTACGCTAAGGATTTGTCCGTGAATTTCCAAAACTTTACTGGGTCAGCCTGAGTAAAAAAAATAATTTTCACATTAACAATAAAAATACTTAGCCTTCATATTTCAATTGTATAACCTCTAGAACCTTCTAAACGAATGTCAAAAGTTTTTTTAGTACAATTTTATATTTTCTTTTACTTTTACTACCCTAATATAAACTGTAAACAAATTACCAATTTACAGTGAAATGAAAACTATGAAATAAAATTAATAATAGTTTTTTCATCTGCACTGACTACATTTTTAGTCAGAAAGTTCCAAATTATTCACACTTTCAAGTGCTAACTTTTTACGCGTGTTTTATTTTAATTTTATATCTTTATTTCTGTATTTTGTACCGCTGAAACTGTAAATCACTGTGGAAGCTTATTAACTGTTACCTGTAGAGATAACGTAACGACAAATAATCTAATATCATGGTTTACACTAGTGCTTAAGCTAGTTTGATTTTTAAATACTTATACTACAGAGCCTCACAAATTTGAATTTCCATGTAGCATTCAAATATGCATTTTTAGAACACAAAACATATAAGGCAATAGAATATAATGTCCTAAAATTACTCTAATTTATCTGGCTTTCTAAGTACGCTATAGAGGATTAAAACTGTGATCACACAACAAGTCATTTGGTATCAAGTGAATACTTTTCCAGTCAAAATCGAAAGGCTGTTTGTAAGTTTGATATAGAAGAGAATTTGATTATAAACATGTCCATGTAAACGAGAAGGGGAGGGCTTCTCTGGTGGGTTCGATAAAGTTATTTATATTTCAGGAAAAAGAAAGGTAGGAAGTTCAGATTTTTGTTTCTTGTTTGCAGTCCTGTTTATTTTGTTTTTCTAATTATTTGGAAACTGTATTTTAAATGCTAGAAAAATTCTGAAGTTAAGAATTTAAAGTTGAGAACTATTGGGATTTAGAAAAATGAAGTTTGTGATTTTTTTTTAAATATTTCTTTTTGAAATTAAAAACTTAAAACTCAAATAAAATAAAACTTAGAATTATAAACTACTTTTTTATATTAGGTTTATTGACCTATGTTGATAATTGTAAAAGGTCATGACATCCAATTTGACCTGTTAATATGAAAATAGATATGCTCACGAGTGACACAGAGGTATGTCTGCAGACATATACCACTAAAAACTGGGTTTGGTACCCATGGTGGCCAGTGCACAGATAGCCCTTTTTTGTAGCTTTGGGCTTTAATAACAAACAAACAACAATTGACATAAATTGATAATAAAAAAAAAAGAAATTGTTAAATACAATTTTGAATGTAATATTGTAAAAGGTCATGACATCCAATTTGACCTGTTAAGGTTGATAATTGTAAAAGGTCGTGACATCCAATTTGACCTGTTTGAGTAGCAATCCCTGAATGAAGTTTATTTTTGGATTGGATTCCCTGTATGAGTCATCAGTTGTTACCCAGATCAGAGTTTAGACTTGCATTTTTTAAGTAGTAATCCCTAAATGAGGTTTTTTTGTATTGGATACCCTGTATGAGTCATCAGTTGTTGCCCAGATCAGAGTTTAGACCTACA